TGTGTAATGAAATGCACATGCAAGGACAGTCATTTGTGTGTGTCTGGGGTGGGGTGATAAAAATCTCATTCTTTCTTCAACAAGACAGAGTTGTCCCCTACTGAAGGTATTATGAATGGTAGATAGATGCTTCCCTTGTGCCAAGTGCACAACCTGGTCTGGATTCTGAATTGAAAGTTACCTATCTAGAAGTTGGGGGTGGGGGTATTCATTTCCACGCCTTTACTGCCTGGAATAAGCAGCAGTGAACCCAAAGTCAGTTCCTGTAAAAGCCGCCCCCATGGAGTTTTAACAGCCTCCATTACCAAGAGTTTAGGATGGTTTATGAGCTAACCCTTAGTAATGAGCCTGCTTAGTTAATTTCAATGGATCACAGGAACTATTAGCAAGCTTAATCCATTGAGATAAACCCGAGTCCTATGCAGGCCTGCATGCACTTTGCTACAATATTAGGATACTTTGTTACTTTAGGTACCTTTGTGTCACTCCAAAAGTACAGGGTTTACGGTATTGATTTAAGCTTTAATAAGGGTCTCGCCACCATCCAGCCGACATAGAGATTTCCTCGTAAACTGAAGGGAAGTCTGCGCATTCCCCATACTGAGCTTCTTATGGCAATCCGTTCAAACACTACCATTGCAAGACACTACACTAACAAGCCGGAACCAATTAAAAAGCTGCCATTTCCATGAAACTTCACGGTATGTCTCTCCACGCCTGGCGGTCATCATGATGGCTTTCCTCCATAGCAAAGCCGGCACTAGGCATAGCACTTCCGCCTGCTTTATTGCATACATTTTATATACTGTCAACTGAATATATTTCTCACTTCTGCAACAGAGAAATGGTTGTGATGTGTTTAGCAAGCATTAGGGAACCCAGCTTGCTTTGGATGTCCTTAGCCCATGCTTCCTCAGCTAGGAGTTGTGTTTATTTATTTACCATATTTATATCCTGCTTTCTCTCACTCCGAAGGAGACTCAAAGCAGCTCACAATATGGCAAAATTCAATGCTGCATATACAAACAGGTAAAAAATACAATATATCTACGTATATAGTAAAAGTCAGCGTTTGTATATATGTAGGTATGTAGCAGCTTTCCAAAGGCCACTGCAACCCCCATGAACGACGGACCTAGATCAAACTTGGCACACAGACCCCCAATGACTTAGTGTACGTCCTGGTGCAGTTTGGGGGATGATGGACCACGGATGATGGGATTTGCAGTTCTTTCCATTTCTTTGGCTCCCACCGACCACTGTGACCCCCACTGATGATGGATCAGGAGCACACAGACTCCCATGACCCACTTTACATCCCGGTGCTGTTGGGAGGAGAATGGACCACAGATAAGATCTGCAGTACCTTCACTCACTTCCAGAGACCACTGCAACACCCAAGAATGACGGGACTGCACCAAACTTAGCACACAGAACCCCCATGACCCACTTTACGTCCTGTGGCAGATAGGGGGAGGATGGACCATGGATGATAGGATTTGCAGTACCATCACCCATTTCTCCTTCCGCAGACCACTGCGACCCCCATGAATGAGAAATCTAGATCAAACTTGGCACACAGACCCCCATGACCCACTTTACATCCTACTGTAGATTGCAGGAGGATGACCCATAGATTATGGGATTTGCAGTGCCTTCACTCAATTTGGCTCCCAAAGACCACTGTGACCCCAACAAAGGAGGGACCTGGACCAAACTTGGCACATACACATACAATGACCCACCTCACATCCTGGTGAAATTTAAGGATTGATGGACCGTGGATGATGACATATGCAGTACTTTCAATCACTTCAGTAACCACACACCACTGTGACTCACACCAATGACAGATCAGGATCAAACTTGGCACACAGACCCCCAAAGACCAACTTTACGTTCTGGAGTGGTCTGGGGGTGGATGGACCATGGATGATGGGATTTGCAGTACTTTCAATCGCTTTGGCTATCACACACCACTGCGACCCCCACCAATGATGGATGAGGACCAAACATGGCATACAGAGTCCCCATAACCCACTTTGCTTCCTATTGCAGTTTGAACAAGGATAGACCATGGATGATGGGATTTGCAGTACCATCACTCACTTCCAGTACCACTGTGACTGCCTTGAAGGATGGACCTGGATCACACTTGGCAAACAGACACTCTATGAAACACTTTGCAGGAGGATGGACCACAGATGATGGGATTTGCAGTACCTTCACCTGATTTGCCTCCCACAGACCTCTGCTATCCCAATGATTGAGAGACTTGAACCAAATTTGGCACACAGACACCCCATGATGCACTTCATATTATGGTGAAGTTTGGGGGGAGGATGGACCATGGATGATGGGATTTGCAGTACCTTCACCTGATTCACCTCTCACAGACCACTGCTGCCTCCATGATAGAAGGACCTGGACCAAACTTGGCACATAGGTTTCCCATGACACACCTTGTATTGTGGTGAAGTTTGGGGGAGGACGGACCATGGATGATGGGATTTGCAGTACTTTCAATTACTTCAGCTCCCACAGAGCACTGTGACTCACACCAACAACAAATCAGCACACAGACCCCCCTCCCCATCTACTTTACGTCCTGGTGCAGTTTGGGGGAGAAGATACCACTGTGATCCCCATGAATGATGGACATGGACCATATTTGGCACACAGACACCCCCCCCCCCCATGACCCACTTTACGTCCTGGTGCTGATAGGGGAGGATAGACCATGGATGATTGGATTTGCAGTACCTTCACCCGATTCAGCTCCAACTTCAAGAGACCACTGAGACCCACACAAATGATGGACCTGGATAAAACTTGGCACACAGAATCCCCATGATCAACAGAACATACTGGAGAAGTTTGAGGGACATCAACATTGCTTTTTGGGAGTTATAGTTCATCTGCATCCAGAGAAACTGACCACAACCGACAATGTTCCAGTACCAAACTTAGCACAGAGAAACCCTATGACCAACTGAACATACTGCAGGCGTTTGTGGGCAATGACCTTGGCTTCAAGAGTTGTAGTTCACCCTTATCCAGAGAGCACTGAGCCCAGCCAACGTCAGATCTAGACCAAACTTGGCAGACAGTCCCAGAGTGGAACATTGTGCATACAGGTGCACAGGGAGTGGGGGTGATTGACCTTGGCTCTGGAAGTTGTAGTTCACCCTTCTCCAGAGAGTACTGAACCCAGTCAACATCAGATCTGGACCAAACACAGACCCAACATGGCCAACTTTGGATACAGGCGGGGTTTGGGGAGGATTGACACATGAATTTGGGAATTGTAGTTCACTCAAATCCTTATGCATTTTCCAATGGGAGTAATCATAAAAAATAAAATAAAAGGCTGTGTTTTTCCTAATTAATAGTGTTACACATTAACAAACTGATAATACCGAATACCCCCAAAACAAACAATGCCCTCTTCTAAGTAACCCAGGCACTGCCGGGTCCCCAAGCTAGTAATATATATATGCTGGTTATTTATTGCACTTATCCAAACACCTGCTTGCACAGCCAGGTCTTTACCCTTTTCCTGAAAACCAGGAAGGAGGGGATCAGTCTGATTTCACCGGGGAGGGAATTCCACAAATGTCTCTCATTCCTACCAGTCGCATTTGTGATGGGGGCAGGACAGAGAGCAGGGCCTCCCTGGCAGATCTTACTGCTCTCACCGGTTCATAGGGAGAGATACATTTGGACAGGTAAGTTGGGCCGGAACCATTTAGGGTTTTATAGGTTAAAGTCAGCACTTTGAATTATGTTCAGTAGTAGACTGGCATCCAATGGAGCTGACATAATAGGGGGGTTGTACGCTCACTGTACATCAATCCAGTAAGTAATCTGGATGCCACCCATTGGACTACTTGAAGCTTCCAAACAGTCACATAGAGCATGTTGCAGTAGTCTATTCGAGATGTGACAAGAGCATGGACTACCATGGCCAATTCTGACTTCCCAAGGTATGGGCGCAACTGGCGCACAAGTGCCACCACCGAAACCTGGGTATCCAAACTCAGTGATGAGTCCAGGAGCATTTCTAAGCTGTGGACTGGTGTCTTCAGGGGGACTGTAACCTCATCTGGCACAGAATGTAATCCTTTACCCTATTTGGTCTTTCAACTGACCAGGAGTATCTCTGTCTTGTGCTGGAGAGTTTTACCAACTAGCCACACAAGCTGCAAACCAACATTTTCCTTTTACCTGCTCACTGATTTTCTTGCACACATGTAATTTTCTGCCCATTATTTTTAAAAGGAGCAGAAATCAGCACAGGACAGGCCTATGCAATAGGTAGGTTTATGAAGCTACCCCATTCTACATTCTCATTATAACTTTTAAAAAACACATTATTAGTCTTCAAAGCAATGAAGAGTTCCAAAATATATGTGGTGGATTTTGTTAAATGTTCAGAATGCTCAGACTGGAATGTAGCCAAGGCTTTCATTGGTGCAATATGCGCTAAGAGGGATGTCTGATTCTGCAGTTTTTTTGTTCGCTTCCTAGGACTGCAAGTCACCAAAACCTTGTACCCATATATCCTCTCTATTTGCCTCTTTCTCATCAGCCACAAAAATAATACAATTATTGTGTGTGCACACACAGAGAGACAATAAAACCTAACAGCATTATCATAATGGATGCATTTTGAAATATTTTCAGTTTCTCCTGAAAATTGAGGGAGGGGGTGTGTGTGTATTCAAAAAAAGAAAAAAATGAATTCTAGCTTCACTGCTTTTGGTATGATCTGCCAAGAAAGAAAAAGAGACAGACAGAGGCAGAACCAAAAACCACATAATATAGACATTGCGGACAAAAAAAGGCTGGCTCCAGGCTGCGCTAACTGCTTAGGACCTTAAACGTAAACTACATTAGCCCCAAACTGGAATATGCCACATGCTCCCAACATACACACCACTCCTACTACTATAACCAATGGACCTCTACTCTAGAAGTGATCTGCATACAGTACTCACCCCTTCCAGCAAACGTGGATTCAGGCATTCACCATCATCGCTAAACAGAGCATCCCAGCTCTCATCAGCCATGTTGTCATCCTCATGACCGGCACAGGTTCTAGTAGGTTCTTCCCATCTGGATGGCGTTTTCTGTTCAACTTCTCCTTCTGCCTCAGCATTGGGTGGATGCTTTAACCTCATGAGCACATCCCCATGGGTCGTTTGTTCCAAAGAGGTGTCACTTACAGGTGGCCTTTCTCTAGGCAAGATGTTCTCTGAAGAACAAGCCATCTTCTCAGAGGCATATTCCAGGACCTGGCAGGCAACCTCTTGAGAAGAACTGATGGATGCAGTATTGTCTCTGCCCTCAGTGTTTTGATCTCCCAAGTCCAAACAAACATCTCCCATCAACTGTGCAACCTCAGAAATATCAACTTCACACTTAGAGGCAGGATTGGAGAAGCTGCTTTCTTCCCCATCTTTACCGCTACACACATGTCCTGTTTGATCCTCTGCTGTATGGAGGAGACAGTAGGGCAGAGCATCTAATCTTCCACAGGGCCTGTCTGAACAACCATGGCCTACTGCCCCACCTGAACTACCTTGAAAAGCTTTATATGAACTCTCCTTTAGGCTCCCTGTCATAACATTCCCATCCCAGTAGCAAGACCCATGTTCCAGGCTCACTCCTTTCTGCTCAGACATGTGTTTGGCTGCCTGACTAGACATATTACTCTCATGCCTTTCTCCATTTTCTAGTGTGCAATGCACATTTGTTTGTGCCTGTGCAACAACATCTTTGGTTTTACTGTCTTCCTTTGGTTCTGTCTGCTCTGAAAGTTGGTTGTGGGTGTATTCTAGGGCACTCCCACCACTCATTTTGGTCTGACTGGAGTTGTTCTCATCTAGGCATTGAAATTGATCACATCCAGCCCCCTCTGTGGAAGCCAGAGTGCTCTCATAAATGTGCTCCAGGAGGCTACTCTTGCCTATTGCTGCCTGACCGGACTGTCTTTCACTTGTAAACATTGGTGAGCCATCCTTCTGTGTTTCTGTTCTATCTGGAACCTCATTGCTTCCATTTTCACATATGCCACCCTGTCTTATTCCAGTTGGTTCTGATTCACCTTTGAGTACAGACTCCATTATGTTATCAATGCTAGCCATCACACTCACTTCACTCACCTGTCTCTGATCCATGAGCTCTGACCCACTGTTGTATAATTGCGCACTTCTCTCACTCAGCCCTGCCTGGTCTGGGAGGAGTGCTCCTGACTGCTTGATCCTGCCAAGGGTGTGAGTTCTTTGCAAAGAAAAGGGGTCCTGATCTGCTGATGGAACAGAGTGAGCTTGTCCCAAAGTACAAACTACATCAGTCTGACCTACCTGAAGGCGGAGATCCTCCAGCTGCTCTAGGCTTTTAGCATTGGGTGCAGTGGAACACTCCAAAGGTGTCTCCACCCCACTGTTGGGCAGTGATATGGATGCTGGGTCTAGGAGGTTGCAGAGAGGCCAGGATTGAGGAAATTCTGGCTTCTGTTGGGAACTCAGCCTCTTCTCTTTGTGTACCTTTGGGCTTGGATTGCTTTGGCAGAATGCATTGTCATTATTCCAGTCAAGAGGCAAAGTTTCTCTCACTTGCCTAGGGGAACCAATTCTTTCTTGACTACTGTGAAGAAGGTTTCTTCCAGTTCTGGCACTCTTCCCTGGCTTACACTTTTTAATGCTCTCTTTCCCTGTGGTGCAATGGCTTTCCTCCTGTCCACATTTGGTGCCGGTCTTTGAGACCGCCATATCCCGCCGTGCCCTGGGAACATACAAGGCCATATCTGGTTTCTTGGGCCGTGGCCGTGTTCTCTCTGCATCAGGCTGCATAGTACTTCCAGCACCTATAAAAGACGAAGGCAATCAGTCCAAGGCTGCAGCACAACATTTCAAGCCTATATGAAGAAGAAGCGTAAACCAAAAGCACAATCTATGTAGAATTTAGTCTGCCTTAGAACAGACCAAGTTCCAAAAGGTACCTCTTCCAAACCAGAACTGCATTGAAAGATGAATAAGACAGAGGCAGAGCTAGCTGGGAAATCAAGTTCCTTTGGGCACGGGACCAGAGTACTGGTGTGCTGACCATTATAATTCTGGTTACTTATACCAGCATTATAAGCAACCACAGCTGCATGCATTCAATGATAAGGGAACCCAAATCCTGCATCCAGGGTACAGTTGCTTTGATTTGCTTTATTTGGATTCAGGTTTCCAGTTTTCAAAAGTCACATCAGGTTGGAGGGAGGGGGGTTGGAATAAAATGGTACAGATAGAGAGGAGGAGAAAGACCATGAAGACAGTTATTGAATATCCTTTAGAGTCAGACATTGGGGCATAACCAGTTATGGATGAGAAAAAATTAATCGAAAAAATACACACTTGCCTGCGATAATCCTTTATAACTTCCCCACTATCAATGTTTTTTTTACCAAAATGTTTCCAATTTGTTTTCTAAATGTGATGACCAGAAACTTGCTGTAAAAACAACAAAAATAAACAATGCTGCAACAGATTATCTATGATACCTCTCTGAGCTCAAAAACAAGCAATTCTATGCAAGATAATACAACAACAAGGAACTTCTAAACATTCTGTCTTCAAATGTTTTATCTTTAAGTGTATCTATACTTAGAACTTAGAAAGATGTAGAGCAGTGGTTCCCAACCCGTGGTCCGTGGACCAACAGTGGCCTCACTGTTACTACACCGTTGCAATGAGAGCGACTTGTCTCGCAAAACTCTCTTATAGTACCGAGGCAACAAGGATGTCAGGAGGGGAGAGGCTGACTACCCACGAAAGATGCGACAACAAGCTCCTGACTGCTTTTTCTCCTTCCTCCTCCTGAAGAGAGCGAATGGAAGCTTGCCCTGGAACCTTGGTGTCTTCGTTTTTAGGTCTGTTCCTGGGGTTATTTGGGATACTAATTCAGAAAATTGCATCAGCTCAAAATTATTAAATATGGTATTCTGTGGGCGAGCAGATGGTGACTACTGGATGGCATATGTTCTGTATCAGAAACTAGAGCTGAGGTGGCCTATCCAATACAATTTTCTGAATCAGCACCCCAAATAACCAAACCAAAACCAAAACCAAACCAAACCAAGTTGACCAAAAACCGATTCGTAACCCTTTTGGTACTAATGTTGGAGCGTGGTCCTTGGTCAAAGTAGTCCCTGGTCAAAGTGGTCCTTGGTCAAAAAACCACTGGTGTCGAGAAATACCTTGGCATAGTATTTTGACTATTCTTTTGAATCAGCAAACTACCTGTCCACATTTTATACACTTTGCATGAGGTTTGTTGGCATCCAATCCTTTGTAGCTTTCTGTCAGATACAGCCCCAGCAAAAGGACAATCACACCCAAATAAATCACTAAGATTTTGCACTAAGTAAGGAAGGGAATCCTCCCGTTTTATGACATTTTCTTATATTACATCCAAGGTTGGCTTGCTACTTCCCAAAAGTGAAATGGGCAAGTTTCCATTTGCTCTCTCCTGCACACCAGCCTTTTGATCCCACCTGACACAAACTCTAACCAAGCTCCCTTAAGGCTTTTATCTGTTTTGTCTCTATCCTGCAGGGGAACCACAGTAATAGTTGCCACCAAGTCTTCAGAGTGCTTTAAAATTAGAAAAGAGATTGCTATTTCTAAAATGCTGGAACTTCACTCCCAGGCTGACGGTCTAGTTGATAAGTACAGAAATATGTGTGTCCAAACCCAGGAAACATTTGGTTTTCAAGGATAAGAAAGCCGGACAGAATAAGCACAGTTTAGCACAGGTGCAACAACAAATCAAATCAAGACAAGAATTTTAGCCCATATTTGACTCCTAGCTTAAATCTGCAATAGTATCTTCCACTGTCTTAACCCACTGGTCATGGGGTAGGGAGTTTCACTACAAAGTTTTCTTTTATACCCAGATGTCCTAATCTACACCCCACTGAACTAGCAATGGGTTCCTCTCTTTTTGTGGGTGGTAGTGTGAATTTCCACTATCAAAATAAGTCAGGGAGCAAGTCTCTCTTCTACCCACCACCCTTCAATTAACAAGCTAGACCTTCAGCTTAGTCTCTTTCAAGATGACGCTCACATAATGATTGCCTCCCACTTTGAATATGCTATGTGGCAGAGGGAATAACACATGCTTTCATGTGATTAGGCAGTTTGGGTGAATTTCTTAACAATTAATAACCATTAGAATTGAGGTCAAAAGATTTCATCCCAATATATGTGTTGATTTGTTTATGTAGGATGTCCATGTTACCATCAAAATGCTGGTTCTTAATAAACATTGTTAAGATAATGATTAGTGTTCATATGTTTGGCATTTCAATTCCCCAGACTTTAAGAAAGTGGGAAAGTCAGATTTTGTGAGCTTCCTTTCATTGCACAGAGCACTCCTTTCATTGAACAGAACACCCACAAAATGCAGAGCTGCACAAAAGAGCCTGTACTTCTAGGGTAATACATGATCCAGGTACTTATAAAAATCACAGCTAAGAAGTCCACCATAGTGTTTTGGACACTCTTTCCACCAACTCTAAATATCTGTCTACACTCATGAACAATGAAACCACTATGAGCAAAGAGAGGAGTTGTGCTGTGCTGTGGCATCTTCTTTATGACGGCATTCCCAAAGGATATATGTATAACACGTGCACTATAGATATCCTAAACCAATAAGTACCTAAGAGCTAGTTTTAACTCTTACACACAAACAAGAAAGGATGTGAATAAGCATACCCCATTTCATGTTTGTTGTACTAGTGAAAGTATATAGTACGCATGGTTCAGAAATTAATAAAGCAAGAACAGAGAATGTTGCCCCAAACCTTCCTTGGGTAGATAAGAGGGCTGATGGTGTGCTGTTAACTATGCCTTCCTATGATAAAGAATAATGGGAGGCAGCTAAGTACTAAATCTTCTTTATTTACACTCTCCCACACATACCTCAAACAAGCCCAAAACTAATACATGAAATTAATGTCCCAGGTGTTGTCTCTCACTGCAATCGTAAGGCCTGACTGATAGGTGCTTATGTTTTTGTATCTGCATTAACACAAACCCCAGGCAGCAGCAGCCATCTGATATGTTTTGGGCAATATTTAGGAGAAAAATAAACTCTTAAGATCAGGAGTGGCCATAATGTGGTCTTCCAGATGGTGCTGGACTCTACTTTGAATCAGCCTTAGACAAAACATAATTGAGGGATGGTAGGAGTGCCAACTTAACAGTTCGAAAACATGCAAATATGAGTAGATCAATAGGTACCACTTTGGCAGGAAGGTAACAGTGCTCCATGCAGTCATGCCGGCCACATGACCTTGGAGGTATCTATGGACAATGCTGGCTCTTCGGCTTAGAAATGGAGATGAGCACCAACCCCCAGAGTCGGACATGACTGAACTTAATGTCAGAGGAAAACCATTACCTTAGGAGTTACAGTACAGGACAATATCCTCTCAATTACTGATTTAGAACTAGAAAGAGGAACATCAGACATAATCTGGATTGGCAGATGGCAATAATACTGAATCAACATTCTTATATAGAAAATGCACATACAGAGCAAGCATATGTAACATATGTGGGAAGTAATGCTTTTAGGAAATGGAACAGTTTAATTGCGGAGTTGGGAAAAGGCTGGATATTCAGCCAAGCAGTAATTAAGGTGTTTACCCCATTGAAAAATGTGCAGAAAAAGAGGAGGTGTGCCCTTGGTCAGCCCAGGTATCATCACACCAAAGGACAAACAGAGAATCACAAACATCCAGAAAAATTACAGGAAATAATAATAATAATAATAATTATTATTATTATTATTATTATTATTATTTATTTATTTATATCCTGTTCCATCTCCCCCAGGGGGACTCGGGGCGGCTTACATGAGACCAAGCCCAACAGTACAATAAACACAATATTACATAAAAGCATAACAAAACCAGAAAATAAAATACATAAAATGCAAAACCAATATAATAGATGACACAGCAATATAAAATCAAACATTAAAACACGAAGGAATTACACCGAGCAGGGCCAAATTCAAAGATAACATTTTTAAAACACTGGGAGATAGGGCAATGTAGATTGTCAGGGAGGGGGATCCGGGAATGAGGAAGGATTTAATTGCACAAACCATAAAATAAAGTGCTTCTGGGTAACAGGCACTGCCTACACTGGATCCAGAGCATGAGCAAAGTGATTTGATCTTATTTTTTAACTCCTCAAGTGTCAGAAGTCCTGGGAATCTTGGCTACACCAAACACATGCTCAGAATGGTACAAGATAGCAAAATCCGCCTGGACGCCAGGTATATCCTATAGCCAGTATGAACAGCTGCTATACACCCAGCTTGTACAAAACACATAGGAAGTACCGTATATTCCGGCATATAAGACGACTGGGTGTATAAGACGACCCCCAACTTTTCCAGTTAAAATATAGAGTTAAGACGACTCCCATGCATAAGACTACACCCGCGTATAAGACGACCCCTGATTTTTGAGAAGATTTTCTTGGGTTAAAAAGTAGTCTTATACGCCAGAATATACTGTAGATGCTCTCTCTCACTGCACCCCAATGAAGGATCTCAGACACATTCTACAGTCGGGGAAATTACTCCCAGATAAATAGCCAAGTTTACACATTCAGCAAGTCGGAGCAGGGCTGAGAAAAGATGATCTTGGTTCTTAAATTTCAAACCCCTTTGGTGACCCAATCTCCTGCCCTTCAAACCCACTATATGCCATTTATCTCCAAAGGATAACAGGGACCCTGGGAAGAATCTGGCAATATCGTTCTGATCTCCAGAGCCCATTTCTTTTGCCAGAGAAAGAAA